CCCCAAAACCCCAAAACCCCAAAACCCCAAAACCCCATTTGTTTGTAAAATAAAATAAATAATATAATCCTTATGAGCAAAGAACCTTCAGCCTTGATTACAGCTGCTGATGTCCAGAGATTCTCAGAGATGAAGACTAAAATCAGAAAAGAGATGAAGACCCTCTACAAAACAGCAGAGAATGCCTTTGCAGAGATGGACTTCAACGGTAATGGATATATTGAGGAGGAAAGCTTCTTCCAGACCTTGCTGGGCTACAAGTTGCCTTACAGCCGAGAAGAGATGCTACAGCTATTTGAGCACGAAAAGTGGTTTATCAGAGCTCCTGAGAAGAAACTGACTTATGAGCTTTTCAAATAAATCTTTCTTCCCTCAAAGCTTTGTAGGCGAAGAGCAGGAAGAAAAAAAAGATGCGATAAATTTCGAAAAAATCATTGGCGACAAAGCTAAGTCTGATATCCTTGTATCACGGATGAAGAAGATTGAAGATCTTCTTAGACAGAAGTTTTCTAACAACTGGACATCAATCAGAAAGGCATTCCTTGATATCGACATGGATTATGATGGATACATCGTTGCAGAAGATATTGCAAGACATTTTGGCAAAGATAACAAAAAGTTTGATTTTAGAGATCTCAGAACATTAATAAAGAACAGAGATTCCAAGAGGAAAGGTAAAATTGATTTCAAAGACTTCTGCAAATGGATGGGAGGCGCTATCGAACCTAGCGAAACCTTCTACTTTAGACATGATTCTCTTAAGAATCCTCAATATGAGGAGAATCTTATTAAGCAGAATAAGAGCAGTGGGGAGTCAAAGAAGATAGTCGCTGATACAATCATGAATAGTAATCTTATGAAGAGAATTCTTGACAAAATCTCTACTCAATGGAAGACTCTCAAATAAAGCTTTCTCTGATCTAAACCAAGGCAAAAATGGTTGGATCTCAGATAAGGATCTCAAAAAGTACCTTGTAAACTGGGGTCTCAACATTACTGATGAGCAATTCAATGAATTTTACAACTTCCTCGACTATGACAAGGATGGATATATCACCTATGAAGACTTAAAGCAGAGTGTTGGAAGTGTTATCTCTCCAGTAGAATTTCTCTATTTCAGACAAGATATGCCTCTCCAGAAAGTAATCAAGTGCAAGCATTCAAATTGCTGGGAAGAGACGAAAGGGATGGGAAGTTATTGCCCCATGCACAAAAAGATTGTCACTGACAAAACTCAGAGACTTCTTTTCAGAGTCCAGAATAAACTTGGTGGAGAGAATTGGAATATCTTTCTTTCTGATCTTAAGAAAGGATGTGATCCTGTCTACCAGAACCAAATAAAGATTACAAAATTCTTCAAAATTTTGGGACAATATAATTTAGATATTACCCAAACTGATAAAAATGAGATAATTGAATGCTTTCACTTGAAAGATGAGGGAAACGTCAAAGAGATCAACGTAAAACCTATCTTTGAGTTTGGCAAAACAAAGGCTATCAACAAACTGTATAAATCTATAAATCTTGAGAAAAGAGAAGATGAAGAAGAACTCAGCATAAATCAAAGAAAACTGATGATCATCTCTGAAGATGACTTCTTCAAAATCTTGAGGCAGAAGACGAGCATGGTTGATTTTTGGAAGAACATTAGGAAACAAGATAGGGACTCAAATGGCTTCCTGACTCTGAGCGAGCTTAGCTCTACATTCCAAAGCTTTTATCCCAAACTAGAAGGGAAGAGTTTGTTCAAGATCTTCAAACCTTTCACCTCTATCCAGAATAAGCAGTTGGTGGATTATAAGAAGTTTAAAGAGTATATTGAAAGCAGAATAATGGCTTATACACCACAATCTCCAGTAAGAAGTCCCTATAAACCAGAGATGTCACGTAACAATTATATCAGAGAGGCTCAAACAATGCACCAGAAGAACCTCCCTTCTCTAGGCCGTGAGGTTAGGTCACCCTCAATGCTTAGAATGGAGCAGATGAAGGAAGAGATCCTTAAAGCTGCAGATTCATCACCTTTGTTCAAGGCTTCTAAAAATTTATCAAAGGTGAAAAATGGAGTAATGTCTCCAAAGCTAGAGATTAAAAAGAGACCAGCTCTTGATGGATTGATTAGCCCTAGGAATAAAGAAGGAGGTGCTCAGAGAACTAGCAATCATCAGATATATAAACAGAACCTGATAACTGGTGGTAAAAGAGTCTTCTCTCCAGATGGGATTGAATCTAAATCAAAAATTTCCCAATTTTCTACCTTCTCAACTTCCTTCTTTCCTAAATCAAATGATGCTTTGAAGCTAAAACTTGGATATGAATGGAAGAATATCTTCAGATCTCTCAGCTCTATTGATATAAACTCCAGTGGATTTGTGACAAAGAAAGAATTCACAACTTGCCTTGAAAAGAATGGGGTTAATCTGACAAGAGATGAACATGTGAAACTAATCAAAAAGTATTCACAAAATGGTGAAGTCAACTATGTAAGAATCTCAACTGAGTTAGGTCTCCACAAAAGCTCTTTTGATTACATGAAATCTAGTCACAAGTATCTCAAGAATGCATCCTTGCTTAAGTCTATCCAAGGGATCAACGATAGTAAATCTAATCTTGGAGAGATTGTGAAAGGAGCTCAGACTAATAGAGTTCATAGAGAGTCGATCAAAGGAGTCACCCAATTAGTACTTGATAATAAAAAGATATAATAGAGAAAATGATTAATGGCTTTGACAAAGACAATTCAGGCACTATAAACAGAACAGATTTTATGAATATACTCAAGACTGTAGGTATTCACATAGGCCCGAGTAGCTTTGCCCAGTACAACGTGAAGGGAGATCAAATTGACTATAATTCATTTATCCATACCCATACGGCTAATTAAGTAGCATTCCATAAATACTAAAATAAAAGGGGTTTTGGGGTTTTGGGGTTTTGGGGTTTTGGGGTTTTGGGGTTTTGGGG